GAATACGTTTCATTTGATATTTTCATTTATATTATCAGTGTTGTTCCTAGGGATTTTTGAATTGTACAACTTTCAGTGTCAAAATTGTGCACTTTTACTTTCGATTGTACAACCACTAATTAATCTTCTTCTTTTTTATTGACAGACTATGGCCTACTACTTTCCCATGCTTAAAATTCTTCTTTTTTCCAGTTTAAAATATATTTTTGATGTAAAACGGTGTATTGATTGGTCGCGAATTCCGCCAAATTTAAACTTTTTTTTTTTATTAATTTTAATGCATGCTATTTAACAAATCGTAGACTTTTTGAGCGAAGAAAACCTTTTATATACCCGATTTTATATACATATTTAGCAATTTCAAATTGTACAACATTTCTGTCTTTTTTCAAAAGTGCGTACAACAGTACAACCGCATAACTGATTGTACAACTATTTGTACAATTGTACAACCAGGAACAACACTGTATATTATAATAAAAGCAATATTTTGACTGATTTAACCTAACTTTTCATCATTTCCTTCCATAAAACCTAAAATAAGTGATTTATGTTTCATGAAATTGTCACTTCTTGACACATACATTGCGTTCGGTTTGCCACGTTCTTTTAACTCCTTAAACACTTTTTACCCCAATCGACCCTTTTAGCGTTCGGTTTAGTCCGATTAGTGACAGTTTAACACGATTAAATGTCATTTAAAATCACCCTAAAAAACTCCGCTTTTGTTCCGCTCCAGCCCCTGACTATCCGTCAGTCAGGGGCTGGAGCGGGACAAATTTTAGGGTGCTTTTAAATGACATTTAAGCTTGTTAAACTGTCACTAATCGGACTAAACCGAACGCTAAAAGGGTCGTTTGGAGTTAAACGTGTTAAAGGAGTTAAAGGAACTTGGCAGACCGAACGCAATGTAGATAGGGCCCGTAGATTGCTCGAAATTCACAGTCTGGCGCCCAAATTGTTATGCGCACCGACCGTTTTTCACCCATGTCGGCTTAGAAATTAGAAGTAGGGTTTATGTTTATGTCATAAGCCACCCATTTAATATCAAGGTCGGTGATAGGAACGTCGTTCCTACGACTTAAGAATACGGTCTCTGAATGATCAAAAAGGAACTTTTATTTTAACTCCTTCCGTTCCCGAACGCCTTTGGTACTTTAGGTGTGAATAGAGTGAAAAGAGTGCGGAACCGAAACTCACTTTCTACTCTAGTCACTCTACTTCTTGTGCTCTACACTCGAACTAATTAATTGTCATTTGTCAAAGTTGCGTCCTTTTTTTGACCAAGTAAAATCTTGACGTAAATACGTGTTTATTTAAGTTTTCTGAATTGTTTTGCGAAAAACTTGCCATTTAGAATCAAAAAATGGCAACGCGTGTCTTTGTAGGAGGACTCACTTACAAAATACGCGAACGAGATTTAGAAAAGTTCTTCAAAAAATACGGAAGAATAAAGGAGGTATCCATGAAAAATGGTTATGCGTTTGTGGAATTCGACGATTACAGGGACGCAGATGATGCTTGCTACGAATTAAACGGTAAAGAATTAATGGGCGAGAGGATTACAGTCGAAAGAGCTAGGGGAACACCTCGAGGAAGCGATCAATGGCGCGGAAGCGGCAGGGATAGAGGTTATGGTGCTCCACGCGGTAGAAACGATAATGCAAGAGCTCGCGACAAATACGGTCCCCCAACTCGTACCGAATATAGAGTGATCGTCGAAAATTTGTCGAGTCGCTGCAGCTGGCAAGATTTGAAAGATTACATGCGTAAAGCTGGAGAAGTAACGTTCGCAGATGCCCACAAACTAGTACCCAATGAAGGCGTAGTAGAATTCGTATCTTACAGCGACATGAAAAATGCCATCGAGAAGTTAGATGACACGGAAATCAACGGTCGTAGAATCAGAGTTATTGAAGATAGACGCGGCGGTGGAAGAAAGAATAGATCTGTAAGTCGCAGTCGATCTCGTTCCAGACGCCGTTCTAAATCGAGAAGTGATAAAAGCCATTCTAAGTCGCGTTCTAGATCACATTCCAAAGACAATAAAAGAAGATCTAACTCGAGGTCAGAAGACAGAAGTTAAATTTGTTCCAATGTATGTTGTGTCAACATTAAATTTAAGTTTAATGGCATATATCTGATTTGTATGATTTTGTTTTTTTTTTTATTATTATTTCTATGTTCCGTATTTGTGTGCAAAAATTTTTATTTATGTAGATTTTTGTTGTTTCGAATTTCTTTTTGTATTCGACTACAAATTGACTGTAACTGTTTTAACAAATTAATCTATTTTATTATTAAATCATTGAACTTTACCTGCCTAATCAAAAAAAGGATTAACTTTTTTTATTTTGCAAAATCAGACTTAAGTATCGCCCTTTTTTTTCTGCTATAATACAAATTATTTACATTTGAACCCATATGACTGCAAAAATGAATGTTCTGAGAACATTATGAGAATAAGAGAGGTGCAAATGATTTTTTTTTTTTATTGATTTAACCTTAGTATTCTAATTATTAAGAATTATTTTAATATCTTTGTGTATATTACAAAACAAAAGATATTTTTTGATAAATACATCAAAATATGTGGCAATTTCTTTTTTGTAATATTAAACAAATAAAAAATTTCAAATGTCGTTTTATTTTTGAAAAAACTAGTTGAATTTTTAAAATGTGGTCTTCAAAAATGGTTTTTGTTGATATTTTTACAAATTTTAAAGATTCTATATTAGTTTAGAAACTGATAAAATAAAGACAATGTAGATTTGGTAAGAAATCCAAGTTTAATTTTGATGCCCTGTAACTTGAAAAGTTGTTAAAATTTTAAAATGTCGCTTTCAAAATTATATTTCTACCCTTTTTATAAATATTTTGTACAATTTTGAAGTCATTAGATCAATTAATTAGGAAACAGTGATAAAATAAAGACAACAATGTTCATTTGGTAAAAAATGAAAGTTCAACTTTGACACCTTATAACTTCAAAACTAGTTACAATTTTAAAATGTGGTCTTCAAAAATAGCTTTCTATAGTTTTTGTTAATGTTTCTTCAAATTTTAAAGATTGTAGATTAATTAGTTTGGAAACAGTGATCAAATAAAGACAACAATGTAGATTTAGTAAAAAATCCAAGTTCAACTTTGACACCTTATAACTTCAAAACTAGTTACAATTTTAAAATGTGGTCTTCAAAAATAGCTTTCTATAGTTTTTGTTAATGTTTCTTCAAATTTTAAAGATTGTAGATTAATTAGTTTGGAAACAGTGATCAAATAAAGACAACAATGTAGATTTAGTAAAAAATCCAAGTTCAACTTTGACACCTTATAACTTTAAAACTAGTTAAAATTTCAAAATGTGGGCTTCAAAAATAGATTTCTATAGTTCTTGTTAATATTGTTACAAATTTTAAAGATTATAGATTAATTAGTTTTGAAACAGTGATCAAATAAAGACAACAATGTAGATTTGGTCAAAAATCTAAGTTCAACTTTAACACCTTATAACTTCAAAACTAGTTTAAATTTCAAAATGTGATCTTCAAAAATAGATTTCTATAATTCTTGGTAATATTTCTAAAAATTTTAAAGATTGTAGATTAATTAGTTTGGAAACAGTGATCAAATAAAGACAACAATGTAGATTTAGTAAAAAATCCAAGTTCAACTTTGACACCTTATAACTTTAAAACTAGTTAAAATTTCAAAATGTGGGCTTCAAAAATAGATTTCTATAGTTCTTGTTAATATTGTTACAAATTTTAAAGATTATAGATTAATTAGTTTTGAAACAGTGATCAAATAAAGACAACAATGTAGATTTGGTCAAAAATCTAAGTTCAACTTTAACACCTTATAACTTCAAAACTAGTTTAAATTTCAAAATGTGATCTTCAAAAATAGATTTCTATAATTCTTGGTAATATTTCTAAAAATTTTAAAGATTGTAGATTAATTAGTTTGGAAATAGCGATCAAATAAAGACAACAATGTAAACTGATCGAGAAAAGTTAAGGATATTGTGTATTCACTATGAAGGAGTTTTTCTAGAAAAAAATATGATATAGCTATTAATACCTATGTCATTTACGTTTAAAAAAATATTGTTTGTAATATAAAATTGTGGCCAAACAGATAAAAAGCATTATCACAAAAAAATGTAGATTTTATTTTTGTAAAATTCAGTTTTGTTTTTGTGCTGCTAAGCGCAGTTTGCGATATTGTGGTTATTCTGCTATCGACAAAATGAATAGACATCATTTAACGGTAGAAGAAGCAAATCAAGCTATTGGGTTGCTTCTTGGAGGTGCGCGACAGATCGATGTGGCTGATCGGTATCTCAAAGTGTAATTTCTCGACTTAATGCTAGAGAAGACCGAAGATTAGTGAGAGGAGCCAGGATGGATCCTACAACAAACTGCACGTTGCTCAGCCAGAACCTTTTCGCTGCCAGCCGAATTATTACCCCTTAGACAGTTTTAAACTGATTGAATCACACACACACACACAGTAATTGAGCCCAAGTCGAGAAGGTTCCCATCTTGTTAAACTGGATCAGAACCCTCCAGACGACCACCTCCCCCCCTGATAAAACTGATTGAATGAAGGAGGTTTACGTTGTTATAGGCCTACAAGACCCTCTCCACTGACCGAAGCCCATAAAGCACAACGTTGGCTTTGGTGTAATGAAAGGGTCAACTGGAATGAAGAATGGCGCACTGTGATGTTCAGTGATGAAAGTCACTTTTATTTTCGTGCTGACAGACGTACAGTTCGTGTCTGGAGTCCAAGAAATTCAAGAGTTAATGATCAATATGTTCAAGAAGTGCGTTCATTCAGAAGTGGAAGTGTAATGGTCTGGGGTGGAACAGACTTGTATGTTTGTCAAGGTACCATGCCAGTTTTAATTGGTTGTACGTTGATAGGTCAGTCAGGACAAACAATTTTATATATTATATATAGATAGATTATATGTAAAACAAAAATTGAATAAACTCTATTAATATTATTATTTAGTAACATACATATAATGTACCTTCTCAAAAAATGCTTATATAACATGCTTATTTATAGATATTAAAAACGCATATGCGGTTGATTTGAACACTCTTATCCATGAACTAACCTCGTTAGACATTCACACATCTGCTACAAAAAAAGTTATGAATATATTCAGAAATCCCAAAATATTTATTTAAAATCAATATAATAATTTACATGGAAAGTCATATTTTGTTTAACTTATAAACTTACAGTCTGCACAACACTGTTCCAATTTGTTCAGAATTATGCAACAAAAACATACAAAATATCCCGTAATTTTAAATCATCTTTTAAGTAATCAAAATAAAATCATATTTGATTTATTGGTAAATTTCTTACGAATTATATACGATTAGATATATGATACTAATTTAAATTATTTCAAATTTTTTTTATTTTAATATTTATTTGTGACAAATGAATATAATTACCAAAGTCAAAACCTTAAGAAAAAACCAGAAAACTTCTAAAAATATGTTTAACTGTGTTTTCTACTAGAATAAGAACATCTTTATCATTTTTTAAACGAAGTAAAAGAACCAAAGTATAATTGAAAAAAAGACTCACCCATGCTGCTTTCTTTTCATCCCGCTAACGGCTGGTCCATTTTACTTCAAATTCCACCCATTATTCGATCCATATCCATTTTCGTACACTCCGGAAATCTTCTGTTCCCGGCGACGTCAGTTCATTCCGACATCAAAATCATTCTATCATTCCCTACCTCTAATAAAGCCCCTAGATACTCTTACAATTTATTAAACATTCCAAAATCAAACACTTTAGTGTTATATTAAAGAAGAAAAACAAGAATTTTAAGTTTGTAACTGTGTTTGATTCAAGTAAGTTCAATATAATTATAAAAGATATCATCGGGCTTTATCGCTGCCAGCCTTGTCTATTTGAACCAAGAATTTACATCAGAAATTAAATATATAGAGCTAACAAATCTTAGAATTAAATTCTAAAAGATGTAACCCTTAATAAATGATTTCAAAAGACGTAAATAGCGTGGATCAAACATCTTTATTGTCAGAGAGGAAGAGAATGATCCCAAACAAAATCGTTGATGTAAATATAAAAATAATAACATCAACGATGCCAAACACTCAAAAAACTAGCTAAAATTTAACAATATTTACATTTTATGAACTAATGTAGGCACTTTTTTTGTTTAATGAAAAGTTTTTGGTCATAAAATTGTTTTTACGTAGAAAAAAAAAATTAAAAACCAACCTAAATGTTTACCAACATTTTTAAAATCGATAGAAACCAAAAAATATTATTTCAGCTGAAGAATAAAGTTACTATATTTATTTATAAATTATTAGATTAATTTACCAAAATTTGAAAAGATTATTATGCATAATTTTAATTACTAGGCAATAAATATCACTTTTTTTAAATTATCTCTGCTAAAAAACGTTTTTTAAATAGATCCTACAACGTATCTAGAATACCTATTTTTATTCTATAACCAAAAGTACCTTGAACGTTATATTCCTGAAATCCAGCCGATTTTGCTCGAAAACGTCTTCCAAAATTTCGTCAAACGAATATACACTTGTAAACGGAGCCGCAGTGACAATTTAACAGATATTTTGTTTCATATTTAATGTCAACATTTTCTCTTAAAAATCCAATAAAATATTTACATATATTTAATTACTGTTTTTTTGTCATTAAAAAATTCCAGTTCTTGTTGGGACACCCTTTATAAACTTGCGCCTCTCCCTAATTATTAAATAATATTCTTGTGCCTATACATAGTTTTGATACACATAACATTGATTACTCATTAAATATTTAAAATTTGCTATAACTACTCATTTATTTCAACACATTCATTCTCCTACCTTTACACGAAAAATCTACGGCACTGGTAAACCGACACGCAATCTGAAAAAGAAAAAAATACCTGATAATTTACTCTAGTCAAAAAACTTCAATAAAAAAGTTATCAAAAAGTAAATATATTTAGTTATTATATAAAAATTATAGAGTAATATTTTGTCTAGTCGATATTTTTTATTCTTACGGATCTTTGGGGAAACAAAACTTTCATTTTAGACATCACAAATGTGTGTTTTTAGCTACGAAAACTGCTAAAATGTACCTATATGTGCTGTTGGGTTTTTAGATAGTACTTAAACGTAAATTGATGAAAGCATTAAAAGTTTTTACAATTCACATACACTTTTCGCAAAATAAATCGTAGTTTAAAGTTAGTTATAGTTTATTCATCGATTCCCTACATCATTTAAACTAGTCATAACAAATCTACCCAGGTATGTAGGTATCTATAAAGAAATCCGACACATCCCACGATATTATCTAGTCAAAATTCTTTCACCTCATATTAAATTGCATAAATATACTGACCGTTTATTATTTTCATCAAGATATTTCACTAATACCACCA